GAGAAATGAGTAGCTATTAGAAATGTCACAGTTCCCTGCCATCCCTCCTGCTTTTAGCCGACAGCAGTGTGCCTGTTCTGGGGGGCATAAAATAACTGCTCTTCTTACAGCAGATAGGAGCCAAAGATAGATCTCTATTGGTGCAGTGGGGAAACCATTGCACTCAGAGTGGTTGAGAGGTCAGCTTTGGTCTTTTTGAAATCACTTTGTTTTGGGGGGAATGTAATTCCTCTTCAGAGTCAGCTAATTCACCTTTAATGAGCTTATTGGCTATTACAGGTTCCTGGTTCTCATTTTTCTCCTGCTTTATTGGTTTTATTGCCCACTGTTGGTTTTGCTAGTGCTATAGTTTTCCGGCTCCCTCCCTGACTTCAGAGTTCCCGTTGCCCCAAGCAAACCTCCAGGTATACAGGCCTAAACTGTGGAGACAAAGCCAATAGAAAGGCAAGGGAAAGGGAAGCAATTCTATTTTGTAAGGTATTTTCTGTCTCTTAGTTTTACCCGAGGTGATAAATGAAATCTAGGGCAGGGAAGGGAGATGAACCTTAACCTTCCATTCAAGTGCATTTAACCATAAAACTGTCATTTGTCGTAGCATACGTGATAAATGCGCCAAAACACCCACTCTCCACATTGCTCCTTGTGGAAGATTTTACGGTTATGACACCATGCAAGGATCAACTGGCATGATTTAGCTCCCTGAGCCCCACATGGAGCTGCCCTCAAGGCCAAGATGCCTCTTCTGAGACCGTGCAGAACTGCACTGGCTTGTGGTTGGGAGTGCTTTGGGGGAAGGATGCCAAGGCAGGGAGACAGCTAACAGCTTCCCAGCTACTTCTGGAATGCTGCTCCCAGGCAGTCTTTCTTGGCAGTTTTCACAGTCTCTCTGAAGAATTTACACAGTCAGTGCTGGCCAAAGAAATTGAACTGCATGCAGTATTAAAACAATACAACAATAACAACAAAACAAACAAACAAAAAAAGCGTGCTGTGTGAAGAGGGAGCTGTGCCAGAAGGCTGTGTGGGACAGGCTGGCTCATGCGGAATGTCTTTGCGTACTTTGACCTGCAAGGGACCTGCAGGGAGAATCCACATCGTACTGTTGCTGTAACCTCTGCCTTTTTGCTTTCCCCGTGCTCTGAGCTTCCTAGAGGCTGTTCACAAATTCCCATTAACTCCAGTGTGTCAGTACCTGAGTTTCTAGTGCAGATGACTGCTTGAATGACAGGTGCGTTGTTTAACTGGAGGATGCCCTGCAGCAGGCTCCTTCCAGCATCCCACCCGTCCTGGGCCATCCAACCTGGGCTGCATCCCTGCTGCTTGCACTTATGTTGCAAGTGAGGAGGGAGCTTAGCACCTCCCTACACTCGCTCAAGCCTTGCCTGGTGTCTGAGGCACTGACAGAAGCTGTAGCGGAGCTAGATCCTGAGCCAGCAACTCTCAGAGGGTTTACTTTAAGTTGCAGGCTCTCGTCTTGATGGGGGACTTCAACCAACCTGGATTTCTGCTGGGAAAACAGCAGCAAATGATCAAGGAGACTGGAGTGAAATCAACATTTTAGAAGGGCAGATAGTGACAGGACAAGGGGGAATGGTATAAACCAGGGGAGGAAGGATTTAGATGAGATGTCAGGGGGACATTTTTTACAGAGAGTGTGATGAGGTGCCCAGAGAGGTTGTGGGTACTCCGTCCCTGTGTGTTCAAGGCAAGGTTGCATAGGGCCCTGGGCAGTCTGGTCTAGTACTTGACCTACCGGCTGGCAGTGCCTGCAGCAGGAGTTTGGAACTCAGGATCCTTGAGGTCCTTTCCAACCCAAGCCATGCTGTGATTCACAGATGCAGGCACAGTTACCTCAAAGGGCTGGAGGTGGTTGAGGTCCCTGTGGCTGAGTGATGCACTGTATGCATTGCTAATACTTCTGCAGTACTAAGAATAAAGTTCCAACACAGACAGGAATCAGGAGGTCTAGGTAAAAGAACCAAATATTCAGGCTGCAATTATGACTGGTGCAGCATGTCATTTTGGCTTTGTGTTGGCCTGTGTAGCTTTAGTGACCTATTTCTTAGACTTTCAATGGCACTTTCTTTCAGGTGCGACAATTTAACACCTTACCATTTCATATTGTTTGGTCTCCAAAGCTTTCTGCATGATTCTAGTGTAACTTCCAAATTATTCAGTACTTTAACGGAAATAGCTTCCATCCAATGCAACCTTGGGCTGAAATCAAAGGCATGTAATCTGTCTTCAACTTTATTAAAAAACATAAGGCATCAGCCTTTATGTAGCTCAAATGCCTCTCCTTACATGGTGACATACCGCGTCTGATACCTCCGAATAAACTCGATATGAATTCCTATTCAGTGTACTCAGCATATTGAATATTATTTAATTTTCCCCATGCTGTGTGATTGAATACTCTGGTCATGGAAATGGAATAGTCGCACAGCCTTGCACTGCTTTGCTCTGCTGTCTTGTTTTGTTTTTCCTTGCCACGTCTGAGGATTAAGCACTTGCTATCTCCCTACCATGGCCAAGAAGAATTTTGTACTTCTTCTGTGCTGCCCTTGAGAAAAAAATGATTTCATGTAATTAGGATAGAGGTTAGTGTTCAGGTTAACAAGGGAAATAGTGTTTTCTGTTCAAGCAAAAAGCTTTTATTTCTCAAACAAATTCAAACATTAGCTTCTCTGCAGAAAATTTACAACCATGTACATCTGTTTGTAATATCTGCGGCTGGCTGTATTGGTTTCAGCAGCTACAGCTGGCCTAGAGGAACATAGAACATACAATGTAAGGGGCTCGTCAGTGTCTCATTCAGGCACCATCATCAGAAAGTTGCTCTGTGTAACATATAGACAACATTTCTGCATTCTCTGTCACTTATCGTACAGATTAAAGGAAAGATAAACTGTCCAATCATCATTGTATGCTCAAAGCCACAGATGGAAAGATCGGCGTGTATCAGTTCTGTAAGTTTCTAGGAAATTTGCAGAGGAAACAAATGACCCACAGTGAAAATGTGTAATACTTTGCAAAATTGGTACCTGGGAGCCATGTGGCTAAACTAGCAGTAAAAATGACCTTTTTTTTTCAGCATGAAATTAGTTTTCTCCTGAAGTATAGAAAAGCGATTTTAGGCTGTTTTACCACCTGCTCCTCGTCCCTGGGATCTGTGTATTCACTTTTGATTTATGAGGGAAAGCAGGGGGAAATCAGGTGAATTTTAAATGGCATATATCAAGATTATAATGACTTGGTCTTTTCTTCCAGGCTATTTTTTAATCCCATTTTTATGCAATAGCCGAACTGTAACCGCTCGCAAACTGCTTGCAGAGATTTTTCTGTTACATCTCACCCAGTGTTTTATCGCTGCTCCCCTGTCAAGAAATTCTTTTGCTAAAGAGTAAAAATGAGCTATTGGATATGCAGCGAGGATAACCAGCAGATAATTTGACTGCAGGTCAGATCAGCTGTTGCCTTCTTCCTTATTTACACTAATAACTCGTATGTATGTCTAGATATGTGCATGTGAGTGTATTTAATGCTCCTGGAGAATGTCAGCCTAACTCCTCTGTCATCAGGCACACTGCGTGGCAGTGGGATAATTTTCCTACTGCTTTTCGATACGTGAAACAGAGCAACCAAAAGATATGCCAGACATGTTATAAGGCTATTCTAAAAATAAGTATAAATATTTTTGTCAAGCTGAAAAAAAAAAGCCATCAGTAAAATGGGTGAATATTCCCATCTTCGTGGAAAGCCACAAGACTGGGTAGGTGTGTCATCTGCCCTCAAAACTTGTATCAGATGTGTAAATAACTCACAAGATCTGGCTTCTGCTAGCCTGAGGAGAGACAGACAGTATCATTATACAGGACAAATGACTTGTTAATAATCCTTACCTGTATTGGTAGCTCCTTTTTAAGTTAACCCTAGTACGCTGTGCTGTACTTTATACTGTAGCATACTGAAGTGTATGAGAGAGTCTGCAGTGTAAGGATTGTGGAGTGAAAGCACTGCAGGTGGGCTCCAATTTCAGTTTCTGTATCGTCTCAAAGATATCTGTATTTCCTTCTATGCTACCTTCTTCATGAAAACAGATGTGGATTTATATGTACTGTGATCATATTTTCCTCCTAAGGCTGGGACATTGTATGCTAAGGTTGTAAAGACTGTCCTTAATCTTTCTGGACTCCATTATCTAGTGCTGCCAGTTAAGATGGATAAAAATTGAGATGAAAATGCAATAGAAATCAATCAAGAAGTCTGTTCCCATAGGAGCAATTAAGTTAGCTGAAGTAAAATGATATTTTAGGGCAATTTGGATACAATTAATATCAGAATCGAACATTTGCCACTGTTCTTTGGAGATAAAATTAGGTGCAGTTTCTTTACAGAAAACTTTGAGGAAAAAAATTATTATTTTTTTTAAATTCATTTAAAATTCTACTGAAATGTTTCTATAAGATTTTATTTACTTATTTCCAGTTTCTTACTGAAACTTTTTTTTCCGTCCTTTTGAGTAAAAGTTTTTTCTCAATTTCCAGCTCAAGTTGATTGGATCATTTGTTAGGACTTGTGACAACAGATGCTGAATGAATTTGAAGACCAGAGTCTATATAAAGCCTTAGTTTTAAATGCAGCTTCACTGAGGCAACAGTTTGATAGCAGCGTGTGTTTCTCCAAAACTTCATTTTTTCTCACTAATGCTGTTTTTTGTGTTTCTCATTAGAAACATCCTGATGGCTAAAAATTACTTTCCTTGTTAGGGGTCACGAGCCTGACAGAGCAGGAATGAGAGTTCCTTCTCTGAAGATGTTTCTGTAGGTGCTAATAGTGCATCAGATCTCTGGGCTATTTTGTGATAGGAATCTGCCTTTGAAGCTGCTTGTTGAAAGCTCCATGTAACTCCAAACTAAATATTGGCTTTATTTGAAACTGTAAAAGAGTTCTATTTTTAAGAGCTCCTGTTTTGACTTTTCATCTTTTCATACCAACAGAATGTCAACTGTATGACAGAAACACGAGTCTGGGATGGAGAAACAGGTAAAATTTATGGAATGCTTTTTTGGAGAATATTGCCTTTTGTGCTACCCCTTGTTATCTTCCGGGAATCTTAACATAGACAAAGCACTGAGGAGACTCCTTTTGCTAGTAATTATATCACAGACTTTTTTTTCCAACCAGCAGTACGTGGTGTCTGACGTTAACAGCCGTAAAATCATCCAAGCCTGAAATCTCGTCTTGGAACAATTTTAGAATTCTATCTTTGACTCTTTAAATAAATAATATCAGTCTGCCATCTTTTCGCTTTTTTAATATATGTGAGACTTAAATATAAATGCTACTCTTTCAGGCTCCGTAAAATAAATGTATGATATTTTCCATATATATCTAATACTGAAATTATTATGGAGATTAAACCTTCACGCCATTTCTCACATACATTTGAGTTTGGATTTTTTTTCTTTAATTGCGAGAGGTACTTTACTTGAAAAATGGTTAAAAACCAGAATGTTAAATTGTGTTCAGTAAGAATAAATTCTACTTAGTCTGTTTGTGTAGACAGTTAGGAGTCAGGATGAAATATTGGTGTGGGTAGGGGGCTTATCAAGATGGGATTTATTAGCCAAGAAGTGTGGATTTCGATCTCATAGTTCTTTGTTACCTTATTTGATCAGAGAAATGAGCTGTTACTTCTTCGTGAGAGCTAAGTGTGGAGAAGTTTCAGGATTAATAAAACATACCCATCTATTTCATGGGTGTGTAGTTCCAGCCTATAGCCCGTGAGGAAAAATAAGTGTGTATGATAAAGCAGGGCACTTTGGGTTTTCAGAGTTACAGCACAGTCTTTTCGCAAGTGCTTGGGTTCACTCTTTGCACAGATCCAGTTCTTGGAAGAGTGGGTTCCACACAGTGCCCGTGCAGGGCCCCGGTTGCACACATCATGGTCCTTCTGGGTTCCTGTGTCACGGGGCCTGATGTGCACGCTTTCCTGCACACCACCAGTATGGCCATGCAGAAAGGGCTGCCTGCACCACTGGTGCCCGCTGTTTGACTGATCCAGCTTCCTTGATTTGACACGGCAGTGAACTAAATAAGACCGCAGTACCATAGATCCATTTCAGGACCTGAATCAAATCTAATTTAGTTTTTTATTGATCTCTATTGGGTGTAGTTATCTTTGAAAGTCAGAGCCCCACCTTGGAAATAAAGCCCTCATCCCTCATGGCTTTTTCATCTCTGCTTCTGCTTCTTTATCACCATTTATCTTTATCAGTTTCTATATAGCCAGAACTGGCTGAGGAATGCATCCAGCATGTGATGAAGGAGTGAATCTGGTCACACGGGGATGAATATATACAGGTACTTACAAAATGATTTGTTCGCTCTCAGCTTTTCTCACTTTTGATGTAATATTTTCCCAGATACTCTTTTTAATCTCAAATTTTAGTCTTTAGAAATATTGTGTTTTCACTAATATTGTGAATATAACCATATGCCATTACCATATATGGTTATATACCATATAACCATATACCATAACCATTCTTCTTTTCCATATTACTGTGCATAAGATGTGTACTATATCAGTGCAGTGCAGTGCTTTCTGCGTGGTTGCCTTTTTTTTAATGTGGCCTGTATTGAATATTGAAATATTTGCCACAGTTAGATGAATAATATCACACAAAGGAAGTGTTACAATTATACAAAGGATATGTCTGGGCTCTGCCCTGTTTTTGTTCACGTTACATTGTGCTTTAATGGGTAATGAGTGCAACCTGATATTTCTAACTGTCTGAGTTCAGTTTTGGGCCTGTCATGACAAGAAAGGCATTGAAGCCTTGCAGCAAGTCCAGAGAAGGGCAATGAAGCTGTGAGGGGTCTGGGGAGTGGCTGAGGGAACTGGGATAGTTCAGTCTGGAGAATAGGCTTCGGGGAGACCTTATTACTCTCTACAGCTACCTGATAGGAGGCTGTGGTGAGGTGGAGGTTGACCTCTTCTCCCAGGTAACCGTGACAGGACAAGAGGTAATGGCCTTAAGTTGTGCTAGGGGAGTCTCGGGTTGGCTATTTGGAAATTTTCTTCTCAGAATGAGTGGTGATGCATGGGCACAGGCTGCCCAGGGAGGTGGTGCAGTCATTGTCCCTGGAGGTGTTGAAGAAACATGGAGATGTGGCACTGAGGGATGTGGTTAGTGGGCATGGTGGGGATGTTGATAGTTGGACTAGAAGATATCAGAATTCTATTCCAGCCTTATGGATTCTGTGATTATTGAGCATGTTATTCAGTTCTTGCCATGTAGTCAGTGACCTGTTTTCTTTCTAAAGAAAGAAAGAAAGAAAGAAGTACTTCCTTCAAAATAGGGAGAAAGAACAGCTAGGGATTCATGAATGTGTAACTGCAGAGAGAGAAAAGAGTATTTTGCATAATGTGGGCAACTATTCTCAGGCACATTTTCTTGAATAAAAGGAATAATAGCAGATGAATTTATTTGAGGATGATGCCTGTATGTGTTTTCATTAGGGACTAACTTCAGCTTCACAGTATGTACCTGTGCAAGGGATAAATAATAACTCCTTATATCTTTTGTGAAGCCTGTCTCAGGGTTCATGCAAGTCAGTGTGTCTTCTAAAGTGGCATATGCTGGTGTCCAGCAGAAGGTCTGTTAGGATGGCTCTGTTAGGATGGATATTTTTTTGAAGCTTTGTTCTGTATTGTTTTCCTACAGAAATGGTTTTTGTTTTTGTAAATGGAGTGACATTTTTTTCCATCTTTTCAGATCTCATACTATTCATGAGCAGTGTCTGAAGCAGTGCAGGGAGAAAGAAGTATGACTAGAGTGTCCCTTTTAGCCAGGTCATTCACTGAACGTATCTGCACTTAATCCTGATAATGTCAGGATAAAGAAACACAGCTTAGCAGAAAAATATGCATGGTAATTTTAAATAGAAATCCAGTCGAACAGAATTGAAATTAATTTTTTGAGTATCTGGAAATTAGATGCCTGGTGTTTTTCTATTAATAGATCTATCAGACTTTAAAACATTCAGATTAGGTACCAGCACTAATTGATAGCTGCATGCTACAAGAGGAAGAATTTATTGCAGCTCCTCAACTAGAGACATTAGCATTCTTTTGCAGAAATGGGAAGTTTTATTTTTAAGAACAAGCTGCTAGAGGACGGTGGGGTATGTTTAGCATAGCAGGGCTGGTTCTGTGTGTGGGGCTGACAGCATCTGGATGCTTAGGGATTAGGACTCAGGTAGAAACAGGAGATGATGTAATGGCTTAGACAGTGAACAGCGAAGCTAAGTGACAAGGTAAGTGGGCAGGCACAATGCCGAAGCTAACACAGAAGACATTCACAGCAGTCAGAGCAAAGCAACGTTTCTGCAGTGGCACGCTGTGCCAGGTTGCAAGCAGGCATGCAGCAGTGCAGCAGCCACCCCAGGCACAGTGCAGCCACGCCGTTCACATCCGCTCCTGCTCCTTGCACCTTCTCAGCAGTAACCAGGGGTCCCAAGGGGCAAACAACAACAGTGTCATGCACACCTGCTAGCAGCATCCCTCAATAATATCCTCTCTTTGCTGCAGTTGAGAGGAAACAAGAAAGGATTTAAATATTGGATGTATTCATGCGTTCTCCTCCTGGGATGGCAATATGTTTAGAGAAAGTCAGCGGATGATTATATTTACACACCGGAAAGGCTTTCTGATACCAAGCAGTCATGGTAGTATGAAATAAAAGCTTTGTTTTTAAAGGCAACTTAAAGTGAAAGGCAAATATTTAATACTCAGAATGTTCTGTTTCTAATTGTGCCCTGAAAGTAATGGCAATGCTGTTTTCTCAGCCAATCGCCATTGTCCACAACGTGCTCTCACCCGAAGAGAAGCCTGGCTTCTCTTACTTTTACTGCTATGTTCTGTGCTTAGGCTTGGAACTTAAAAAATTACAGCATCATGCTGCTGGTGCCATTACAGTAGGCTAATTGCCAGGATACAGACTACTGATAGCTGACACACACATCAGGTAATTGGGGCTCCACTGTAGTATGGTCATGGATGAGTCAATGATGGAGAAATTGGGTTAGTTAAAGCTCTGAATATGTATTTTTTTAGGGGAAGCAAAAAAAGTAATTTCTGGCCTCTTCTCATTGCCTCACAGTCATCGAGAGAGAAAGAAATCATGAAAATGACACATGATCTAAAAATAAGATGGCTTTTATTTTATATTTGGACTGGAAGAATAGTTTGTTCTGTGGCAATTTTTCTTTTCATTCTTCTTATCTTTAAACAAGGTGGAATTTAAAGTAGACATTCACTGCGCTGGAAAGAAAAGCAAAGAAGTGTACTGCAAATTATTGCTGGGGAGGTAGATAATGGGAAAGCAAGAGAAAGGCAAGGGACAGAAGAAAAAAAGGGAAAGTGAGGGCACTGAAGTACATTTGTGTGGGATGGTTTTCAAAGTCTGTGGCAGGGAGAGAGGTAGTCAAATGTCTTCACAGTTAAACACATAAATAAGGAAGAGTTGCTGTGTTAAAGTGGAATACCCATGAGTTGTTCTTGAAGTAGTGGTAGGTAGGCATGGCTGAGAGTAATGCTTGCAAACTGTGGCTGTGTATGTCATGGGCAGATGAAACTTTTGGCACTACAGTTCAGCAAAGTAAATGCCCCAAGGATAAAAATATCTATATAAAACAAAAATATTGTAATAGTCTTTTTTGTTTGTTTGTTTTTTAAGTAAGTTAAGTTATTTTTACAACATTAATCCTTCTCCTTACAAAGACTTTTTACAGTGGCCTCAAACATTAGGAAAATACATAAAATAGAAAAAAAAAATAATCCATGCATTTCATGCTTTGAACTTTGTCCGATAGTTGGGAATGTTGTCAGGTAGAGTAGGTTAGATAAAGTAGAGTCAGAAGGCAGGGAGGGAGGGCTCTAGACTGACCAGTATACATAGCTGTCTGTGATTTTTCACTGAGTCAGTTACCGTGTTAGAGTAAAAACGTGAGTGAAATCATAATGGATAATTCAAAGGCTTAAATGCTGTATCAAAACACACCTGGTCATAATTAACTGTACAGTTTCATTTGTTCAAATATCTGTTATGTGCAACTACATGATTATCATTGTAGTTGACTGGCACTTATACTGTATAATCATTGCAAGCAAGACACAAGATTTAGCTTATTTGCAAAGGAAAAGCAAAGAGCATACTTCCAGCAATGGTCTGAAATAAAAAAGGGATGGGAGAGGAGGGAAGTATCACTGCAAATTACCTTCAGTTTGAACTCCGCAGGAGAAGTGGTGATGATGCATGGAGCTGTTGGTTATTTGCCAGTGTTAAACCAATGTTGAAGGTGATCCATTTTTGTCTAGAAGAATTCCCTGCAAGTCCTGCTGCACAAGACTTCTCCAAAAGAACAGATTCTTTTTGAACTGTGATCTGAATAATGTTTTTAAACACTATTACCTTCACCTCTTACTTCTCCATCTTATGATCTGTTACCCCAGTACATGTTAACAGTTGCTTAGTCATGTGTTTGTAGATGTCAGGTATAAAGATTTCATTAGGATTTGAGAGAGAAATCTCTTACTTGGAAATTCCTTTTTTACTAAGTAGTTCCTTGCTAGGAAAGACTGACTTCCCACACATCACAACTAACATTGCAGAAACACCAGTTGTGCTGACAATTCAGTCCTCTTTTTACTATGATAGAAGCCTGCATGAGCTGCCATCCATAGCAGACAAACTTTCTGCTTGAAGTACTTTAAGGTGACCTTCCAACCTAAGACATTCTATAGCAGCACTCAGCCAACTCAGTGCAAATACCATTTTATTCATCAATTTTTGTCTGATCCACAGATAACCTTTTGATTATATTACTGAAAAGAATTTGACATAGATGAGACTTAACTGTGACGTCAACTGAGCAGATTGCTGTAACAATGAGAAAAGGTACGCTTACAATTACAAGCTGTAGTGATCAGCAGCTAGGCTGATACAATATTTTTCTCCTAAATGTTATCTAGACTCCTGCTAACATGTTTACAGGTTATCTCGGCATAAGGCACCATATGGCAGTAAACACATTGGTGGTAATGAGAGCACATATGAGACAACTGTGTCTCTGGTTACCCCTTCCTCAGTCACCCCAGAAGCACTCTAAGTTGAAGCTTTTGCCTGGAGACAGCTGAAGTTTGTTGTAGACTTTCCAGGTGTTTGGGTGGCCATCTGGAACATGAATAATTTAATGAACACAAGAACTACTCCAAGGCTGTGTCTTTCAGAAGGATGTATCACCAGGATGAATCATAGGATCATCTTGGGCCTTTGCATCCCTTCCATTTCTTCTCATAGTCTTATGCCTCTTCCTTATCAGCTGTGCCTTACACATTATTTCAGAATCATGCTAAGTGCACAACCTGTTTTTATCCCGTTTATAGCCCTCCACGTGCTTTACCCAGTACTGCATACATTTAACTGAGATATTCCACACATCAGACTTAGAAAAAAAGACCTCTATGACTCTGCTGTTGCCACGAGTTGAAAGCATCATTTAATAATAGTATTGATGCACTAGGAAACATGTGTTTGTACATATCCAATACACACTTTATTTCATCTTTTTCAAAGAAATTACAGTGGAGAAGGGAGTTAAAATTGATATCCAGCACCTCACCTTTGGAATGATTACCTTCTGCTCAATAACCAGCTCTGGAGAGGAAGCCAATGCTCATCTGAAACAAACAAGGCTGAGTTGTTTAAATGTGGGACCAAATCCTCCTTCTAATTCCAAAACTTTGATTTTCTGCTCTTCTGTTTGTTTTGCTCAAAGGAATTCCACATTTCTTTCAGTGAATTTCTAACCTCAACCTATAACAGCACCAAAGTGAGGTCATTCTTGCCAATTCTCAGAGAGAGTATAAAAACTTCCAGCAGAGCAGCTCTACCAGGCTGCACCAGAAGGCCATGCAGTCTGGTATGGCAAAGTACAGAACAAGTATGCAGGGATTTGCCCTTAGTATACTGTCCCCTCCTCTGGCCATTTTCAGGTCAGAGGACTTCTCACATGGAAATGTGCCAGAGATCTCCCTTCTGTTAGTCAAGGCTCATCCCTGATACACACAAAGTTCATGCATACACAGTGCCCTTTGACACTGCTACAAATGCATGCAAACCATTTAGAATAAAACTTGATATTCAAATGCAAAAAATGCAAACAATAGTAATAATAAAAAAAGAAAGCAAGGAGAATGGAAAGGGAATTTGAAATCTTTGATTTCAATTTGATATCTTAAGGGATAAGAAGACAACTGCTGTTAGATATAGCAGCACATCTGTGGCATCAGTCAGTGACAAGCACCAGAGCTCCGGCAGCCCAGAAGGTGTGCTGAGAGAGCATCAGAGTCTGCGTAGCTGGGGTTACAGTGGCTTTAGAGAAGGCACAGGGGTGGCAGTGTCCTCCAGAGCTGGTGCTGAGGGACCCTGCAAAGCAAAGCGTCATCATAGCAACAGATGGGCTACGCAGACCTTGAAATTACACTGCTATACGTGAACAGTCCACTGCAGTGGTTCAACTCCGTCCTGATGACCCAAGTCTTTGGGTCATTATATTGGAGTTAAAAAGTGCCTTTCAGATCTAGACAGAATCCCTGTCCCAGGGGTTTGAGGATCACTGCACTGCAACCAGGTGCTTAAAGCAGGAGAGATGTGGCAGTAACTTCCAGTCTTGGAGCTCCCTATTATAGGTTCCTGCTAGAAACATTTCCTATGAATATTTTACAACCCTTTTAAAATGTATTCATTTTGCACAAATATCTTTTGTATTTGATGTCCATGAATATTTATGCTGCTGGATTTTACTGTGCAAAATCTGCATGGAAAGGTATTCTGAATCCACTGTCTGACATGCTCAAGTTAGCACACTCGCTGTCAGAAAGGAGTGCCTTTTGGAAGCAGCTGTTGTGGCTTCACACATTATTATGCAAAATAATATTTTATAATTCAATGATATATGATATATTTCATAGGTTGTACGTTATACATCTTGCTTTAATTGCATACTTCTTTATATTATGTATGTAATATATATAATACACTATATATGAGGGCTGTTCTGAAAACAGTACCTCTTATTTTATTATGCTGGCCAATGACATCAGAGGCAAATGTTGGTGGTATTGCAGTAGAGCTTGAACCTTCCCACCAATTTCTGTTACATTTTGCTGCAGTGTGACATGGTAGCAGAGGGGCAATCTGATACAATGAAGCAAAGATGTGACACCTAATTCCTCAAGTAAAGCAGTACCAATTAATGAAATGGCATTCTGTTACTCTTCTATTAGTCCATATTCTATTTTAGCTGTGTTAACGTTCTGGTTGCCATTCAACTACTCTTGTACAGAGAGTACAGAAGAACAGCAAAGGTTTTTACAACTGCAGGTCCCCCCTTACTCCATGAACACAGGTAATGCAGCCTCCAACTGGGAGACAGATGTTCAAATGTCTCCTAACTGCTGTTGCTTAGTACAAAGCACTTATTATCACATTGCCAGACACTGGAGCTGAGTTATGGTTTTTAGTGTTATGGTTTCATCTCAGCCTGCATGAAGTGGTGACTGAGCTGTAGTATTTTTTAATCTGAATACTTAGCAAAATTTGTAGGGGTTGCTATTTTCTAACTTGTATAATTAATAATAGGGTTGATAAAAGGATCCTCTCTTTGTGGTGGTCACCATCAGGTCTGTGTGTAAGACATGCTTCTCCTGGCTTCAACACCAACCTCGGTTGCTGCTGCAAAGATGTGCTGAGCCCACAGAGGCCTCTGACACAGGAAGGACCTGGGCACTGGGTGCCCGCAGTGCTGCTCTGCTCAGCTCCCAGCAGGAGGGGGGAGGGACAGCAAAACTTCAGTCTCAAGGTAATGACACACAAAAGGTCGAGGATGCGACGACAGGAGCTCCAAAGCTGTATCTCCTAAACAGAACGGCAAAATGAAACTAATACTTCTTAGTGAAGTTAATACTGCTATAACCTTGTCATATAGTGCTTCAAGAAACAGGCCTCAGGGTTTCCCACCTCTGAAATAGATGCCAGAAAGTACCTCTTTGCATTCAGCAGGGCCAGGATCAGACTTTTCCCATCCAATTTCAGGTCATAAACTGACTGACTGACATAGTGTTCTCATAAAAGAAGGCTGATCATATGGTTCGGTTGTCCATTTCAGTCTCACAACATTGCACTTTGGCCGTGTGATTAGAAGCACCATCCTCCTGCCTTGTAGGGGATATTTCTCTGCAGATGAGCTGTTACATATATCTAATTCCATAGTCTATGAAAAGAAAATAAATTCAAACAATGGGGGAAAAAAGATAAAATCAAGGAAGTACGGGTCATTAAAGGCTCATTTATGTAACATGGTGATGCATGTCAGCAAAGTCACATGTGGTTTGAGTCAAAACTTTTAAAAAAAAAGTGACAGCCACACAGCGTGGCCAAGATTCTGACCATTTTTTTGGTTTCCACAGCTTTTACACAGAGCACGTGTTTTGAAAAATCAGTGCTGAACAGAAGCTTTCAAATTAGGGTAAGTAAGTATTCCTGAAATGACATGCTGCCTCTTTGCATGAAAGCAACTCTAGGGTTAGAGCACCTGCTGGGGAACACCAGTGTGTAGAAATAAACTTCCTATTCTTCAGACTTACAGACTTTTAGTTGTTCATTCCAGAGAAGGTTTAATTTTTCGGTGGTTTTCCTTTTTGCAGAGCATGCATTACTGTCAGTTGCAATACTAACGGACATCAACATAAACATCATCTCCAGGGCTGTTCAATGAAACTATCTAAGGCTGATTGTCTTGAAATTAGCTTGACTCATATCTGAAAATTGCCAGTGATTAGCTGATTATGGTTTGAATTGAACTCAGATTGCTACAAAAAGCTAGAAAAAGTCAGCCTCGGATATATTCTCGTAAATTATGCCTCAGCTGCTGCCAGCACTTGCATTAGGGATGAAGGTTTATCACTGCATCACATTGATGGCAGTCACTTTAAAATACACATTCTGCCTGGGGAGAATCTCTCTCCTGAGGAGAATGCTGTCTTCTTACTTTTTAACCTACTCATTAGGTGAAAAAATAAAATAAATTCGGCACATCGCTAACAGCAGAGCAGATTAAATTTCTCCCTATGAGAGGAACCTGCTGCCCCTTTGTAAATACAATTATTATAATTAGAGGAGCAGCTCAATCCTGGACTTTTACTGAGAGTCATCTCTTCTGCACTAGGGGTACGTGACATTTAAAACAATCTGAAATAAATCAAACACTAACAATGCTGAGCGACAGACGTCAGTTGCGTTGAAAAAGAATTCATGCATTATTTTGTCCTAATTATAAAGTTATGTGAAAATGTTTGATTAAATCCTGCTGATTTACATGTTCTGATACAAACAACAAAAGGTGTTACCATTGGTTCCACTGTCCAGAACTACAGGGAAGACATGCATTTGACACTTGTATAGGTCTGTATTTCTGTGGCTGAATTAAACACTGTTAGCTCTATTTTTGACTAAGATTTGTCTGTCTACAAGAAAAAATAGCAGAACTTTTCTCTGTGTGCCTGTGGCAGCTAGGCCATTCATCCTGGACTTGCATGGGGTAAGAAGAGCTGTGGTTCTTAAAAGGGGGTGTTCATGCTGCATTTTCTTGTGTCTTTGTGCACAAGGCATGGCAGCCCTGGCTCTGAGGCCTTAGCTGGCTCCAACACTCAGCTACAAGTCTTCAAGCAGTGCCCATGCACACGAGTGCAGGGCTGGTCCATACATACAGTGCTCAGAAAGCAGAGAGTTGAGATTCCCCCTGTGCTTGCATCGACTCCACTACTGTCAGCACTAATCACGATACTGTAACAACTAACCCAGGATGGCACCCATTTAGCAAGCTTAAAATTTTAATTTGGAAACAATAGCAGGTCATTTAAATAATTAAATTCAAAAGAACACTCAGGCGACTCGCAACACCGTAATGGTTTCATTGTGTTTGACATCAGCACATACCTCAACTGCAACTCTACTTATAAAAGTGCAAGAGGTGAGTGAGTCAGTGTGTCCTTGGTGCTCTGGTGTGTCCTGGTGCCCAATGGGGGCTGCTCCAAGGCCCAGAGCCTTGAGCACACAAATACACCCAAAGTGCTATGCTGTATCCTTTGCCTTGGCCTGAATTCAAGGGGAAAAAACAAAACCAAACAGGATACTGGTGTTGTTGATGGGTGCTCACAGAGGTCTATCCCTGGTCCTAGTCCTGAAATACCTCAGCTGCCTTCAGAAGCACTATCAGTATCTCTATGAAGGCAATAGGGTAAGCTTCGGGCACCTGCTGCTGAAGGGAGCAGAAGGGCTGCATGCTGCTCTGCCACAGTGCCAGGAGTGAGGTGGGCTGCTCTGCCAGCAGCTCCTCTTGGCAAGCCATGTAAAAGTGCCTGGGAAAACATGACTAGGAGCTCAGGGTTGCCAGTTGGTATGTGTGCCCATTCTCAACACAGATTCTTATTTTTGGAATCCAAATTAAAATAATTGGTAACCTAAATCTTTTCTGAATTTGAACCTCAAATGGATGATATGAACACCACTGATGTCACCTTGAAAGTACTACATAAATACAAATTGTTTATGTATGTTAACTATTTCTGCATGCCTAATTACTTGGTCAGATGCCATAGGTAAGCAATGTTTAAGAACACGTTCTCTTTACCATGAAGTAAAACACAAACACAGCAGACTGACCACGTAGAATTTTCTGTCTCAAGCATGAGGTTTGGACGTGGCTGAGGAGATGAAATGTTAACTACTGGCAGGTGAGGAGACAATCTTTTGAGCATTCATTTGGAATATTAGCTCTTAGACCACATGGCAGCATGAAACAGCTGTGGACTGCAGGTGTCCAACCAGCAACTAATGGCAGGTTAAGCTATAAGCTAATGACACACAGAAAAGGAGTTTTGCAATGCCAGCAGCAAAGCAGCCTGCTCTGTGGTACTTTCAGACTGCCAACCCCATTGATACCAGCCATGCTGCCATGTCCTGCTGACGTGCCAAGGTACTGCTAGGAAGAACACATGGTATGCAACCCCTGGTCAGTCTCCTAGGATCCACATTTCTGCCCGAGGGTCACCCTCAGGTGAGTCCAGTTAGGGATACCACCCCACTACAGTCCCATAGCACCCCATGAGGCTGCTGCCTTGGGCACCCTCACCCCGCTGCATTTGCCTCTCCTACAAGGCATTCTGCAGGATGGCCATCTAATTGCTATAAACACAGGGTGCTGTCAGGTGGAAATATCACACTGAGAGCAGCAAAGGACCAGGCACGAGGCCTGTTCAGCCGTCTAGGGACCAAGGCAGCAAATTTCAGTCAGGCCAGGAGGCAGATGGTGCCCTCGTTAGCAGTCACAGCAAAGGCCAGCAATGAGGCACATCCCTGATCTCCACAGCTAAATTATGTAGCACATCGAAGAGACAGCGTACCCTTAATAAAATATTAACATTGAATATAAGATGCCTCCAGATAAACTCAGTTGTATATAGTAAATATATTAATTATCAATAGTCAAAACAGTGTTGTTGACAGCACCATTCCTACTTACCTTGTTTGTACCTGTTTGACTGGGGACACAGACCTCCAGCATCTCTGCTGTTTATACATTTCTCATCTTCATATAATGCTGCCTGAATTCATAAGCAGCATCTCTGGGACCTCACTCTCCTTTCAGATGTCCATCGAGGCATGGCAGATTTCATGTCAAGTGAAGGCTGCTGGGGAAGCTTGCCAACTCAATGCACAGCTGGTATCACAACTTCTTCCTATGCCCTTGTGTTCCCTTTGCCTTCCAGTACAATTGGATTTTCTACTGCTGGTCAGATGCAGCCTATGAGTAAGTCAATGGGAGAGTGAGGGAGACAGCCTATTTTCCTGCCACTATTGACAGCACGTCAACTCAGCACCCCGAGCAGCTGCAAACTGTTCCCAGACATTTGGTAAAGTTGCCTTCAGGATTATTTCTGTTCTCATCAAACCCCTTTATCCTATCAACCTATTAGCAACTGGATACTTTGCTTTATGTTCAGTTATGTTCTCAGAGATAGAACAAGTTATAAAAGTGCCTCTCGGACTAACATCAAATGTATTTCTTGATGAATTGCAGCCTGGTAGACTACATGGAAGGTTTTGAAAAGTGAAGTCTATAAAGCTTTTCAGTAAAATAATGTTTTTCTCTTCAAGGATAGCAAATATAACTGACTGGAACTTGCGTTTGTCAGTTGGTGTTTCTGTTTTCAAGCCTGTTTGTTGTTTGGTTTTTTTTTCCAGGGATCTCAAAATCCCACTTTGATAATGAGGGACCATCACTGGGACAAGTCCTCCTCAATCAAACAGTTTCCATTAGGCTCAAGTGTAAAGTGGAGCCCACCGAACTCGTCATCCTTAAATGATGACCCCTAAGCGGTGGCCTTCCTTTTAAACACAGCTCACCAAAGTCTGCAGTCCACAATAATTAATAGTGAGCAGTTGCCTAAAAAACCTGATGGCTCTTGTGCAAGGACACAGAAATGCACTTGAAATCTATTTTCTCATTGACTGTATTTCCAGATTGGTTGAGAGGGTATCTGATGAAACATATGGTTTTTATAGGCATGTGAACTAAAAGTGCATAAATCCAGATCAGCAGTTAGTAGGGGCACTGACCACAGAGTTGCAGTGCTCCTCTGTACTCCCAGCGGATATATAAGGTCACGTCTTCCCCCTAGAGAAGCACAGAATGAATCAAGGTGAACTCCACCCATAACCTTTGCTCCTAGACTTGGCTGCTTTCAGGACTGTGTCACAAGTTTTAATTGTTCCTTACCAGACAGCATTCACCTTTTCTCAAACATGTGGCTGGAGAAATGAATTTCCTGCAGTGAAGAACTTAGCAAATAACTTCAAAAGTGTAAATAAAACTACTGATTTTTAAGGAGGTGGAGTTTCCAAGAAAATACAGGCAAGCTGAAACTTCATTTAGGAACCAACAGCAATTACTATCCTTATGCATAGGAAGTTAAATGTTGTTTGGTAACTCTAAACAGGTTAAGTCCTTTGAGATTCACATTTGCAAGGTACCCTCAGTCCAGAGGCTCAGCACTCCAGGAGACATCAATAAAAAATAAAATCATGCAGGCACTGAAGTTGTTTGCTCAGCACATTGTAATACAATGGAAAATTCAATTGTATAAATTTGGGTAAACGGCAAACAAACAATGAAAGAGAAAAGGTCATAATGAAATCAGACACTTTTGCAAATATGGAACAGTAATTCCCTTAAGTATGATGTTCTAAAAGTAGTTGCTTTGTGGACCACATTAATGTCATCTAATAGCTTTTTAATTCTTATTCTGCTTGCATACTGTAGCAGTAAAGTAAAAATTGTAGAAAAATAGAAGTGTGTTTAGAACTGTGTGTGTGTGTGTGTGTGTGTTGAAGAAGGGGATGGGGGAACCATAGATTTTTCTCCTCAAAGTACTGTGCTTCACTTACCAGGAGCTACAGAGAATGTGCTTCTATCTACAGACCCTCTGTAGAATCAGGAGGTTAAATCACTAGAAGACCCCTTCCTTGAAGCGGATGAGTTGCAATCCTTCAGAGACTCCAGACAGATGGTTTTTTGCTCAAACACAGACGCACAGAGTGCCATGGTGTCATTTTTGCAACCCTTGATGTAAAGTGTCCTAGATCAACACGACAGTTATGGGAGGATTAAGCAAACAACCAGACAAAACCTCCCAGAATGCGACAAGTCATATGCTAAGCCAGGACAAACCAATTAAGAGCTTTTGAAAGCAATTTCAGGTTTTGGACTTTAAAAATCGATGAGATGAGCCAGCAAGGGAAGCTTTAGAGTAGTTCAGCATTATCATTTGTGATGACGAGGAAAAAAGGAGAGACTGTTTAAAAAAAAAAAAGAGGAGCACTCTGTGAAGGTCTACTTGGAAACGGAAGAAAAGAACAGAAGAAAGTACTTACTTACATACTCAAAATTATTGGCAAAAGCTTTCTATTCAGCACTCTTTCAGATGTTGCTGATGCATTTCCAGAGCTACACAGAAATTCTAATCAGAAGGAAAGTCACCTCAAACCAAAAAGGGAGAAGATCCTTGAAAAGATGAAACCCTAAAACAGTTGACATCTTTTCTCCCGTTTGCCATTTCTTTGCTTTCTCCATAAAAAACATTTCCAAAGAAGCAACTTCTTGGTGAAATTCATCTATTGACTTTGTACTGAGCCAGTACAAATAAGTGGGGAGAATTTTCTACTTAATATGTAAGAAGCAGGAATCAGTATTGCTGAGATAGATAGCAGAGCTTTGGAGTAACTCACTGAGTGTGGAGGAGAATTTTTTTAGCTGTACTTCTGCATTTAGGCCATTGAACTACTGAACTACTGTTTTGTTTGTTTGCTTGCTTGTTTTTCTTTGTGATTCTACTAATAAAAAATGATATATGACCTTACATATAGTGTAGGAAATGGGAAAGAAGAAAGTGGCAGCTAAAACTATCAGCCTGAAGTTTATGGATGTGGATAGGGAACCTACATTAAAGGCTATTACATGGTACAGTACCGTTATTACTTACAATTATTGCTTTTTTGATTGCTGTATTTAATGATGGTAACACGCTGCTTTGAAGTTGTAAGAATAATGCCACCAAGCAGGGTTTGCTTGTGCTTTCAGCTTTGGCTAAGCACTTACTCATAGGGCCTGTTCACCTTATGCTCAAGCATGAGACGCAATTAAACTGGTCAGTTTAAAATACGAACCACTTCCAAAAATGTATTCATGTTTTAGTTCATGCCTGTGTTTGTTGGAAATACTGATGCAGGTGTGGCTAAATTCATGTAAAAATGCAGTATCCATTTGCAGCATTGCAGATGTTACATACTAATTGTAATGTACATAAATTACAAGAACACTGTGATTGCAGTAATACAGTTTAGAAGGTGATAGATAGAAAGTGAAATGAGAGGAGAAATAGTTCCCAAAAATCTGTAGCTTTTTTTCTCAGTTGGGATACCAGATAGTCTCAATGAGCACTAAAACACAGCTGGGGAATGTACTTACCTATGACCTCTCTGAGTCCTTCTAAGTACACTAATTAACCCTGCCTGTAACATAGGCTTTGGTTGTTTTATTTACTGTTGGAAACAGTCAAAAAAACACCATTTGAAGGCTATTCCCATGCCTTCTTTGGAGGAAAGTCTGGCAATAAAGTTAGTGGGCATCAATCAGTCCATCAGTCATTCTCAAATCTTATTTTAATTTCTTTTTGCCTGGTTTGGGAAGTTCTGATGAACCTCACCTTTGTTCTGTTAGAAAGTGGCATGCAAAATAGCACAAAAACGTACGAAGTGTTTATTGCCAGCTAGCTGTACTGTTAGAGGACTCAGCACATTTTGTTAGTGTACAGAAAGGCAAAATTAAAAGAATGACAACATTCCCTCCTTATCATATGGCTTAGTTTGGAAGGGACCTTAAAGATGCCTACCTTCCAACCCCATGTCATGGACAGCAACCTGACTCTGCTCTTTGTCAGGCCCGTGTTCCCCAAGATCACCAACTCAACCAGGGCTTGGTCACCACAGCTCAGACTATCACCAACCTTAATTTCTTTAAAGATCTCCTCTACATTGGTGAGACCAGGTCCAGTAATACTTCACTTCTGTTTGTTCTGTCCAATACTTGAACCAGAAAGTTATCGTTGATGGACTCCAGCAGTCTCCTGGATTGCTTGCAGCTCTGGACTCTTTTGTTCAAAAATCCCCACGTTTGCTGATTTTTATAAACATTGAAAGAATAGCTCTGGCAATTACTGTCAGAAGTCTTCACACAGTAGTCAAAAGAGGAGTGGCTTTCAGGCTTACTGTTTAGCTCTTGTCAGTTGTCAACCCAATGTAAAGAGCAGCCTTGCCATAATTTGTTCTGTAACCACCAAAACCACAGCTCTAAAGACCAGAAAGCTCTGGGGGAGGGGCTCATCAAAGTTACAATGTTCAGTTAAATTTGAATTTCTTTAGAGTGGGTCACTGATGATTACAAATTATTTTGTAGGAACAGATCATTAAAAGAGAGCACTTGAAAACCAGTTCATTTTAGAGGTTAAGATATGACTGGTTGTTTTAATTTGATTGGTAGTCTTCAAAGAGACAACATTTTAATTTAAGGGTCAACTTGTTCTGAAAGGCTAACCAATCATGTAATCTAGATAAGTGTCAATCTAAATAGGATAAAGATAGCCGTGCATAATTGAAGTATTCAAAGGCACCTTTGTCAGCTCACTGCAGGATTTCAGGATACTAAAGGAACATTCACTGAAGCAAATAGTTTAAAAGATCTATCATTAGTATGGGTAGTGAATTCTACTTTATACTAAGAAATTTTTACATAACCATCCCTGTGTGACGAGAATTTGTAAAACAGATTAGCAAGGTTTGATTATCTCTACTTGAGAAAACTTGAAATGTTCCATGTTAAATTTGCAAGTTTAATTCTATTAGCTTCTTACATCTCTTTTGCTTCCCATAATTCCTTCTCTACTAATGTCACTAAATAAAGCATAGCAGTTCGTATAGTTCCATCTTTTAACTAAACACTAGGAAAGTTGGCATGCTAGTGAAGAATGTTTTAGAAGTTTTTTGGTTTTTTTTTTTTCATTTCATTGTCATTACAAAGTCTTTTTAAGTACTTTGCAAGTAAGTACCTTACTGTAATGTAAATTTCTTTTTTTTTTCTTGTTATTTTAGTCAGAAAGCAAGAATTTTCTTGAGAAAAAAAAAAAAATAAAGAGCACAGAACTTACCACCTTGAGCTTCAAAGGTCTGAAAACCAGAACCTTATTTACCTTTTCACGCCAGTGAATCATTGTTGACAAAATGCCCCCATCATATAAGTTCATCTAGTATCATACTCATGTACTATCTGCCATATATATACTCTCTCCATCTTTAAGCAGCATTCGATTCTATTGACTTATTTTGTATGAATTACATAGTTTACCATTCTTCCAAAAACACACTTTTTTAAATTCTTGCAGAGGACTCATTAATAAATCCCCAGGAAAGTTTAGAGTGAACAGCAAGGACACATGGGAATCTCATCAGGAGCCCGAGCTCCCAATACGCACGAAAAGGAAAGCAGGCATGAATGCTCTTTACAGATCAGCAGATCTACTTGGATGCTCACCTGATGTTCTTCAAAAACCTACCTCCAGGGTGCTTAGTATGTGAATCTCTTACATCACCTGAAAATTCAGACATCAGTAAAGAGAGAATTCTCATATTCGTGTACAGACCTACTAGGGTTGCACTTCAGTCATTTGCCCAGAAATGAGAAATGGACCTCTTGAGTGAATGACAAGCTCGTTCTTCACCATGGTGGAATAAAAGGCAGGAAAACGTAGAATGGTATATAAAGGTTACCATTTCCAAATAGTGTGAACAAAACTCTCAGCGAGTTAAAAATAATTTCCTTCTTGGCATTCAATAATTGCACTAGAAGTTATTCTAAGATGACATGCTAAGGTAGGAATCCTGATGTCATTTTTTTCCCCAAAAAATAGATTATTTGAAAAGTGGACAATCAAATAAGTGACAGAGCACTAGTTCACCATGTAAAGCAGATATATACTCCCACACCAGCGTAAACTTTCAGGGTTGCTTCTTTGAAGAGTAGGGCAATTTTGTGAGGAAGGAGAGAAGGGCAACTTGCTTTAGGGCTGGATACTTTATGTAAGCACGGAGGAAAATGGGAAGGAGTCTGTGTATCCTGGGACAAATGACCCAGGCTATGATACCCAGGAATGGTATCTGCAGGAAACCCCATCTGATGCTACAGATGGCAGCTGATGACCTGAGAGGGAAAGAAGGCTTATCTTCAATTACCAAAACACCAGAATGAAATTACCATCAGCAAAGTACTAACTTTAAGGTTACCTGATGTCTTCCCCATAGTTTCCTCCTTTCTCTTTCCAAGCAAGGAAGAGGAGATAATCTTTACAGGAGACATAGGATACTTTTTTGATTAGTTCTCATTTAGCTCATTTTTTGAGGCTGAGTAAGATAAATCAACAACAGTTAGCCTCCTGAGGTGGGTCTCAGTTTTCTTCCATGCAAATGAAGAACTTTCCATTCTTCAACGAGGCAGCAGCACAGAAATAAAACAAGCTTTCCATAAATTAGAATAACATTCTGTGTTTACACATAACACTGACAAAACCATACAGGACCAGACAGACTCAAATTCAAGCTAAATACTGCCCACTCCATCGCTCCCTACTTTCACATAGGCTGACTTCAGAAGAGGAACAGGTCATGGTAGGCTTGAAAACTCACGTAGACAGACTAAATTTAGCCCATATGACATATTGACCAGAAGTCTGCCCAAGCCTAATATTATATGTAACAAATGGATTTAAGTTATGTGAGCATGATCCAGAAGCCAGGTTTGTAGGGAGAGATGATGGCTCTCACCAGGCCAACTCATATCATTTGAAAGTACAAAAAAAAAAGATTTGCTAAGGAGTCCTCCAGATCTGAAAGCTCTTTTCCAAGTGAGTTGAGGCTGAAACCAGATTCTGAGTCCACTCTAGTTGTACTTTGT